TTTATTATATTTATTTATGAATTTGATTTTAATATTTTTAAAATAAATTATTAATAAATTAAAATAATATTGTACTACAATATAAATTATTTATCAAAAATTTAAAATATAATTTATATGTTTAAAAATTATCTATCATGTGCGTTATGCATAATAAAATACTAGTTTTACTGATGTTATTATCCTTTTTTTAATTTATATATCTAACTTAAAATTTTAGTAGTTTTTCTTAAATATCAATTATAAAAAATAATTTTATATCACAAGTTAGTTTTTATTATAATATATACATATATATAATTTATTTAAAATATTTATTTATTAATTTTTTTATTATAATATATTTTATATATTACAAAAATATTTGTTTATTATAAATTTTAATTATATAAAATAAAATATTATCTTTAACAATTCACAAAAAGCTAAAATACAGTTATAATAAAAAAAATTACAATAAATTAATGATATTTAATATATATAATAAATAATTTCAATTATAGTGGAAGGTTACTCTCAATTATTATTATGTAAAAATATTAAAATATCGACATTAAAGATCGAACTTATATGATTTTTTACATATTATATTATTCTAATATTTATTACTGAATTCATCATAATAATTATCTTATTATTTAATATAACATTAAAAACCAATTGTACTTCTAAATAATTAAGAATGAGATTAAAGGACATGTATTGAAAACTAAATACTAATATATATGGTCCCTTGTCTATAAGGTGACAAGTATATCATTACAACAACTATTTGGATACTTAGGTGAAAGACGAAAAGAAACTTGTATTAATGGTGAATCAACTTTTTTAAAATCAATTGTTTGATTATAATAATAAAAGTTAAAGTGATAGAGAATATGTGTTGGCCACTTTGTTTGTACATATATGGTTATTGAATAAAGTTATAAATATGATTATATTTTTGTTCATTGCGATTGGTTGGTCGAAGAAAAAGTCTATTGGTAAGAATGAAAGTGATAGTCATTAGCTGTCTAGCAAGTAGCATCCCATGCTTAAAAAAAATGAAACCAATTTCAATAGTTAAAGTCCATTGAAAACATCTTATTAGCTGTGAAAAATAAAAGTGTGTTTAGACTTATATATTTTTTTACCACATGTAATTTCCAGGGACAATCCTATTTAGTATCATTGTGAATGAGATTTTTTTTAAATATTTTAACACATTTATATATACAAGACACAAATTCAATAAATTATTGAAACCAATAATTGTAAAGTAATTTATTTCATTTGTTTTTTTAAAATATTTTAATTTTTAATAAAATTACAAAAAAAAATAATACAGAGTTATCTGTGTCAGTTAAGTTTGTAAACAAATTATTTAATTATTGTAACAAATAAAATGAAAAAGGTTAACTAAAAATAGTTTGTCAACTTTTGGCAATAACTTTCATGATCTTGATTATCGTGAAAACAAACATCTCCATTATTGATATCATAATATTTTGTCATAATTCAAATTACTAAACAATTTTAAATAGTAACATCAAATCAATAAATTTTTTCTATCAATAGAAAAGTAGTAATCCAATATAAAATCAACAAAAAGGGTTTGATTTTATATGATTGGAAGAAATGAGAAAGAGT